ACTGATAGCTACATAAGAATGTGTTGAAATGGAACAGAAAAATGCGCAATTTGCATTAAAGACACTTTTTTTGCATAGAACAGCTGAACATCGTACAGTATATCACGATAAGAAAAAGTTAGATGGCATATATTCAATGATGAAAATTATGATAGAATACCATTCTTGAAATGATCGCAAATTTTGTAGTCTAAGCGTTCATGTTCAATACAGTTTTTGTATGAATGAGTAAAGTTCCAGGTTAATAATAATAGCACAGCGCTAGAATCTAGAGGAACAACGAGTAATTTTAGAAATCTCATGTGTGACATTTCTTCCAGATGTAAAATGGCAAGAAAATAGTGAAAGCAAAGAGCGTGAAATGGGCTAGAATCGAAACACTTAGATACAGGAAAAAAATCACTCACTTAAGCAGGTCCAGAAGGAACTCGGCCGACTTCTTTGGCCAGCGTCCCTGCGTGGTGTTCCACTGCTTACATTGAGCCTTACGTCCAACTCCACCATTGTAGCGAAGGAAAGGAACAATTTCCTTCTGCTCCTTCACATTTTCGAGGAAACGTTGAGCACGTCTCAGCGGCATGTTGCGAAGGGCCATCGCTGCCTCGTGGGTGTTCTTGAAGTGAACGCGGAGATCAGACCCACGGGCCTTGCACGATTTCGTGCTGTTATCGGGGTTCTTTGTATAATGGATTTTCGTCATGGCACCCGACGAGGATTACCTTAATGAAATGGTTTAAGGAAATCCGCAAAAGAAACAGAAAACAGAAGAAGCAGTGGCATAGCAAAGTCCTCCAAAGAGCTACCGCCTTTGCTCATGTGCTTGAATCTTTTAGAGTCCAACAGCTTTAAAGTTGTTGTAATCCTTTTACAGAACTTCTTTTCTGTATTCTCTTTTCTTTTAAATTACACGTGGTCTTCAAGTGCCAATCAGACAAAACCACTCATAAGAGATTAGGAGTTGATTACATATGAATCAAAAGCAAATGGACACTAGGCCACCCCATGAGCAAAGGCAGTAGCCATTTGAATGGTCTTGCGTGCTCTTCTCCAAAATAAGTTTCATGAAAGCTTCACGTGTTATAAAAAAGAATAAGCATCTTGTAAGCCGTGATCTAATTAGAGATTATCCATTATATACGAAGATATCTTTGAACATGGCGGAAAATGTGCGAAAGAAAGAAAGCCGTATGCGAAAGTATCAAATTAGATCCAGTACAATTTCATAAAATCCACAAAAAAAGGAAAGGACTCAGAAATAACCGTTAGGATAAGTAAAACTGCTAACAAGACAGATGAGAAAATGGCTCTTCGAGCTCTAAATGGGTGGTAATTGAGAACAGGACGTACAA